AGGTCACATTGAGCATTCAAAACAACAAAAGTTTTTTTTAAAAAAAATATTCAGTCAGATGGAATGGGAGACCTGGTGGCGCAGTGCCTAAGGCACTTGACTGCTAACCAGAAGGCTGGCAGTTCAAACCCACCAGCCACTCCTTGAAAGGAAGTTGGGCAATCTACTTCCATAGAGATACCACCTCAGAAACCCAAGGAAGGGTCGCTATGAGTCAGATCTGACTCGCCTGCAGTGAGTTTCAGATGGAATGGCCTAAATCTAATGTAAAAGATCATGAGAGGAAAATCTGATTCCATGGTCTCAGCACTACTGTCTACTTTTTGTGTGACACTGGGCAGGGCACTTCTCATCTCTGGGACTCAATTACCTCATCATAATATTATTAATATTTTGTTTAAAATAAAATATGGTAATGTATGGCCTCTACTGTTTATTTTGAAGATAACATGAGTAATAAAAGGAGAAACACTCTCCTTGGGAATATCTTATTCTGTTTGATCCCAGAGTATACCCTTAGCTATTTTTTGATTCTCTGAAATTTTAATACAATTTTAATAGTAATCTAGTAGGAATAGTTCCACACATTGCAACAGAGATGTAACAAACTTTTGAGTAGGGATGTGTTTAAAAAAAAAAAAAAATCACCTAATCCAAAATTAGCATTGTGAATTAGAAATCCACAACTCAAGGCAGATTGACAAAGAGCTCAACTCTTCACATTGGGTTGGAACACAACATGGCCTGTATCCCAAGCATCTTGACTCACAGGCCATTTCTTCTGCCATGCTAGGCTGCTTTTACTGAGTCTATTCTCTAGAGCAATATTTCCAACATTTAGTCATGTATGTCTATAATTTTTTTCATATGTGTAAATAACAATAATCTTATTATTTATGTTATGCTTTTATTTAAATATATTCTGGGTTGGTTAAAAGAAGAAAAAAAAAAAAGAACTGAAACCCACGTATTCAAAAGTATGCCATTACCATAAATGTATAAATAAAAAAGAATTTTAGAATTCTTCAGAATATTTTCACCTCCACAAAACTCTGAACCTGAGACCCACCTGTTAAAAGAGAGATTGGCGTTACAGGCAGAATGGCACCCCCTTGAAAATTTCTGCTTAATAATATCAGGAATAAAAGAGCAATGAAAAGATCAGGGTTTTCTTGGCATAAGATTGTGGCAAATATTGAGGGCTGACTCACTCAACCCCCATTTCCAAGCCCCAACTTCTTTGCCTACCTACCTGTTCTATATAAGTTGTACAAGTAAGAACACAACTTTCCAACCTCCATTGCAGCTAAGGGTGGCCACATGACCCAGCTCTGCTCAGTGAAACATATGCAAAAGATCTTCCAGTACCACTTCTTCCTCTTTCTCCCTTTGTCTTACTTGGAATGTGGTTGCACATCTGGTGTTACAGTCACCTTTTTGTGGCCATGAGGAGACAAACATGAGGCTGTAAGTTCACATTCTAAGACTGGCAGAGCAGAAAGAATGAAATAACGCTGAACAGCTACCCCAGTCCCACTTACCTCCTGACTTCTTCCTTTGTGAGGATATAAACTCTGTTTCTACATTAGTCAAGGTTTGTGCTATTTCCTATCAAGAGAATCTTATCTGACCCCATGTTTGATTGCTTTTAAATTGTGATTTGGGTGAAAGGTTACAGAGCAAATTCACTTTCCATTTAATGGTTTAAACATATTTTGTTGAATGATATTGATTACAATCCCCACATTATAGCAGCTCTCTTCCCACTTCCTAGCTGAAGCTTAGGGATTGGTATGCTTTAAATTTTCCAGATTATTCTGGTAGACCAACAAGTTCTAAAGCCATGGCTGTCTACATACTGCTAGACAATGTGCTGAACAATTCAATACCTAATTCTAGGCTGCAATCTTTGGAGCTTTTTCTCAGTTTCTTGGATATTCTATAGGAAGCCTGGATTTCAGGTTTTGCCAACATAAACCCATTGGCCAAATTCTTTACATTTCTGACTCACTCATGGAATTCCAGAAACTGTCAACTCAGGACTTGCATACAATAAATGCTTTGGTAAAACATGTAAACTGAGACCTTTCTAGTAATAGGAATGCTGTAGCTTTCTAATGCCCTTCTCTGAGTAGAACCAGAGGGTGCTGAATCCATCTCTGTTGCTCTGCAATTCTATAATTCTGACACACTGTTGATTTTTTGAATGCATACTTTATTTTTATTTATTTATTTATTTATTTAGCCATGCTTTTTAGAAACTGATTGAATCATTTAAAAAAAATCCTAAATATCTGTGATTGGATCCCAGGCAGCAATATTATAATCATAGAAAGAGCAAGTAGCAAGATTTATGAGGGCCATTCTGCAGTCCTTGACTTCCTTTACAGGTCATTAGCAAGCCACCTGACCACTTCCACTGAAATATCACTCCATTGTCTTCACACCCATATTTATATGTGCTCCATGATCTCATTTGAGTCCAATTCCCTGACTTTGTAGTTGAACAAACTGATGTTTCTCCTTGCATCTGAAAAAGTAGGTGACTTGCCAGAGATCACACACAAGTTAGCCTACAGATGTTGAGACCAATTCTACTCCTAGGCCAGTGTGTCCCTTCCATACTTCCCATCCACCGTGACACCTTAGGAAGTTTTTATCTAAAGTGCAGGATGATATCACAAACATAGTCTCAACGCAATGGGAAATGACCCTGAAATCCACCCAGATCATTCAGTAAACCACCAAGTTCCTGTTCTCAGGCAGATTTTATCTGCGCTTTGGCTAACTCCCATAGAAACACAAATTAGATCTGCTGTATATTGGCAGAACTTTGGCTTAGAATAGATTTCAAATGCCTCCCATTGAACATTGGCAGCCTTGAAAAAACATGGCCAGGAAATTATTCCAGGAGGCCCAATTGTTCTCCTTTATAAGGAGAAGCTGATGGCTTTCCCTCCCAAATACTTCCCTCTGTGCCCAGAACAAATGGTTACATTTCCCTGTATATGCCCCAAATTAGGACAAGGCAAGCTTAGCTGCAGTGAGAATCAAGCAAGTATCTTCAATGGGCAGGGCCCTCTGCATAGTACCGTATGCATTTTGCCAAGTTCTTCCTCCAGTTTTAAAACCCTTGAGTATTCCAAGAGAAATTTAGTCCATGTGTTTCTGATTCATTTACACTTAAATCATTAAAATGTTGTTTTGTGAGACTTATTTGAAGTCTGAGGAGCCTGTGAGTCTTCTTAATAGGACTTTTAACTTTCTTTTCCACTCTGCCTGAAACAGAGCAATGTTTGGCTAAAACAGGGCCTGAGTTCCAATATAATCTCTCATCTCATATACTTGCATCCACATTATTGACTGCAGCCTCTAACAATGCCAGGCTTGGCAAGGCCAACATCCTAAAGTGTTAAAAAAGAGAAACTGGAGAGAAATCAGAAGGAGGAGGATTCCAGGAAGATTCAAGCCACTGCTCCTCAAAAATGTGCCAAAAGGGAGTTATGTGAGGGTGGAGGGTGCATGCATTTATCCTCTTGGTTAGAGAGGATAGAAGCCCTTTCTCATGTACCCCACTGGACAGCTGCAAAAGGACTTCCACAACCATAATCTCAATTAAACCCCGTAGCAACCCACATTTTCCAGATGAGGAAACAAGATCAGAGATGTTAGGTGTTGTGTCCAAAGTACACAGCTGCTCTGGGTAGAAAGGAAAGATTCAGTCAAATTCTCACTCTGAGTCTAATGCTCTTTTCAAGAATGCCTCAAATTGAGTTTTTCTATGACTGTTGAGTGTGTGTGTATATGTGTGTTTGAAATGCCATGGGAATTAAAATATATTAGAGAAAGACAGTAAAATATAGTGGTAAGAACTCAGATTCTTCCTTTGTTCAAATCCTCACTCCATCACTTCTAGCTGTGTAAACCTGGATAAGTTACTTTACCACTCTGGGCAGATTCCTCATCTGTAAAACAGGGATGATGTTACTAAAAACCTGTATGAAGTATAAAGGTAATTGAAGGAGTTAATATGGTACAGCACTTAGAACAGTGCCTACACATAAAAACCAAAAACCAAACTCACTGCCACTGAGTAGGTTCTGACTCATAGCCACCCCTCCTTGGGTTTCCAAAGCGGTATATCTAAGGAACTATATTGCCCAGTCTTCCTTCCAAGGAGTGGCTGGTGGGTTTAGACTCTTTTGGTAGGCAGTCAAATACCTTAGTGCTCAATAAATATTAGCTGTTACTGGTAATAGCAGGAAGGAATAATAATAAATAACTAGGTAATTGTGGCAAGTTGCATAACCTCTCTGAGTCTCAGTTTCCTCAATTGAAACCATGAAGATAATAACATGATCCTGAGGATTTTGTGGACGTTTGAGATGATGCTTATGTCTAATACAGTGCCCAATAAAATCTATTTTTAACATCCAGACGCACACCACTCCTTATTCACTGTTGGTTGTTATCGTTGTGTGTGTGTGTGGGGGGGTGTTGGTAATTTTCTTACTATTCAGCTCAGCTTAAACCCAGTGTTGCCTTTCTCCACAAACCACGCATATAGACATGGATACAGGTTTAGGTCTTTCTGTACCCCCAAGGTACCAGGTTTTATTGCTGTAACAGATCCTCTATGGACTGGAGTAGACCTCTGAAGGTGGAGGAGTTGGTAAACAGTGCTGCAAGTGTTGATGTTGAGTGGGAAGAACAACTAGTCAAGAACTGGACTTGGTGCTTCCACATATTCTGAGCCAGCAGCTCTGTTCACTAGAAAACCTGTAGTTGTTTGTTTGCAGACAGATGGAGGCTTTGGGATTTGGATCTTTTTTTAATCCCTGTGTAGATGTTAGAATTACCTTCTTAGTTGGTTGTTTCTGTTTAATTGGTATTCTTTTGCCAGTGTCCTAAAGAAGAGTAGAAAATTGTAGCCATCTGGCAAGGAAACTAAAGAGAAATTAGACCCTGTCCCCCTCCAACCCCTACACATACACACACAGACACACATGGTGATACAAATACCAGTTTGAGCCTCTCAGTTATTTTCTCTCAAGGGCTGGAGCCAGCCACACGGGATAAAGGAAGGAACTGGAGGAGCAAATTTTTTAAGGGAGAAGACAGATTCTGTTCTGTCAGGTTCCTCTGAGTGTGTATAAGGGGAGAGAGAGAGGAGAGAGGAAAAGCAAGAGGGAGAGAGGGGGAGAAGGGATCTGTTGCAGGCAGGGGAAGGCGTGACCTGAATGGAGAATGCCAGCCAATTCCAGAGACACACAGGGACCTCAGAACAAAGATAAGGCATCGCTGACAACACACCGGGGACGAGCTTGCAGACAAGTCAGGCCGGGAGGGACAGAGGCCAGAAGACCAGAAACAACCAAGTCAGGAAAATGAGGTGAGTGACAGGGCAGGACAGGGCAGGGGTACCCTTCCAGGGACCGTGTGTCAAGTAGCCCAAGAGGATCTGATCTTGTCTCTGGGCAGACTCACCTCTGTGTCCTCGGGTGATGGTGAGGGGTTTTCTCACCAACTTCTGGGGTTCTGGGAAGGGAGATGTGGGCTGAGTGCCTTCCCTGGGACTCCGGAGACATGCAGCTTGAACTGGGAGACTGTGCAAATCCTGCCCTACCGCTGCTGAGGGTCAGATTTCGCTCTGCCAGCATTGGGTGCTGCCTGCTGGTGAATGGAGAGTCCCCTCCTGTTGCCCACAGAGCTGATTTTCTGTTTTCCTTCTCTTCAAAGGGCATCCATTTCTCCCTCCTAACACTTTTTAAGTTAGATATGTGTTTGTGTGTTTATTTGTTCTGACCGGAAAAGAAACCAGCTTCCCACAGCTTGGGTCTGTGGTTTCCTAAACCGTCAGAAGTTCGCTAGTTAAAACCTCAATTTAGAAAACTAAAACCTGTCCCCATTTTACAGTTCCTTATAAATTTCTGCTTTTTCCCTGAAATCAGAGGCAGCTGGTGACATAAATCAGGATATGAATTGCACCAAATTGCTCTTAAAGGGACACCACAAACGTAAAAAAAGCAAAAAGAGGAATGGTTGTCATTTTGATACCTAGGACTTTAAATTCTAATTGGTTTTAACCTCTTCAATCTTTCCAACTCCTGAGCCTACATTTAGAGTTACTTGATCCTTCTTACCAGACAGTCCTTTATCAGTTTTTCTCTGGGTCTCAAAGCCCAACCATCCTAATTATTTTTACAATTTGTAAGTGTTAATGTTGTTTAGAAAGCAAAAAAAAAAAAAAAAAACACTCTGCAGATGTGTTAAATTCCTAAACACCTCTTTTCCTATTAATTTTCTGCTCAGTTGGAAAAGTATTTCTATTTGTTTCTCTTCTGCAAAGTCAACTAGCAATTTTGCTCGGTATGGGAAATGAGGGGCTACAGACTGTGTTAACTCTTTGAACTCAGATTATATGTGGTTCAGAGAGGTAATAAAGTCTTTAAGGTTAATTCAATCATTCTATTCTTGTTAAATCCATTGTAATTTTAGTCATGCTATCATGCTGCATTGTCCTTTCTGTTAAAGCAGATGGCGTTTGTGTCCATCTACATAGAATGATAATCTGACTGACCTTTGCCTACCTGTTCTCCATCCAAATCCCTCCCCTACTCCCTTGCCTCAACCATACTAAACCACAGGACTGAGTAACAGTTCTGTATCTTTTCATATGCTCATCCTCAACCTGGAACACTCCCCCTCCTTTTATTTTTCACCTAGCAGCACCAATTGTTCAAGACAGTTCAAACATCTTCTCTGTCTTCCCTGGCCACCAACTCCAGGGTGAGCATTTCCTCCTTTCTGCTGTCTCTGTCCTTTGGAATTATGTCTCTTACTGTCACTCTAATATCTATTTGTTTAGATGTCCATCTACCTTACAAGAATGAGAGCTCCTTGAGGTGCAGGATCTATGTTTTCTTCATCTCTGTATGCCCAGCACTAGCATAATGTTCGTTTCCTGTTTGTTGTTGTTGTTATGTGCCGTCGAGTTGGCCCCGACTCATAGAGACCCCTCCTTGGGTTTCCTAGGCAGATTCACTATGAAAGTAGACTGCCCAATCTTTTTCCTATTAGGCACTCAATAAATATTGGTTGAATTGAATTCAATTGTGGAAAATCAAAACAATGCTAGAAAAGTGCTCCACTAGAAAAGTCTCTAAATGGTCTTGCCTCACATAGATAGAGCACCTTGGAGTTTGGAAAGCACTTTCATGGGCATTTTCTCATCTGGTCATCATATTTCAGATGAAGTAAAGATTTATGGATAAGTGAGGGTGAAAGCAATTAAGCAAATTGCCTTAAGCCACATGGAAGATCTTGAAGAGGTCCAGACACAAATTTGGGCCTTAAGCTCCAAGTCCAGGACTTTTTTCTGCTATCTTTGACCAGATTGTCAACCAAGTGTATAATTTTACACGATTTAGTTCAGTGGCATTCAATCTTGACTGCATATTAGAATCACATGTAGTGCTTTGAAAAACACCAATGTTCAGGCCTCACCACAGACCAATTAAATCAGAATCTCTTGGGGGAGGGGTTCTGGCATTAGCATTTTTTAAATCTCCACATAAAGCCATGGGTTTGATGGATTCTTTTTTCACAGAATTAATTGCTTTGGCCAGATGCCTGGGTATTATATCGGCATGAATCTAGCTTCCTCTGTGAGCTTTTGTTACTCCCTTGTTCTGTTGAGACTAATTTACCATATGGTATTGGGCATAACAAGTCATCTCTCAAGGTATCATTTCATCATCTGCTGAATAAGGGTGCTGTCTAAAAGAACTATATAGTCCCTTCCATCTAATACGCAGAACCTTTGAGTCTTGGCATTGTGTAGGTTGAAATAAGGAGAGTGACTAGAGAGCATACCAAGTGCTACTCATTCCACAATCATAGATATATTTAGGTATTTTTATGTGTTCATAGTAGCCAGTTTCTGCAGAAGAGCTTAAGAAATCTCATCTTTATATATTACTTTTGACATTTCAAGCAAATGTAGCTCAACTTTTTTTGATTAGCTAAAGGGTAGATAGCAGGTGTCGGAAATTGTACAGCCGGAGCCTGGTGCATAAGAAGCCAAAAATGTTTAGTGAGTGTGATGGGGAATGAAAGCTGCCATTTACATTCTTCAATTTGCAGCCTAAAGAACGAAAGCAAGCAAGCATATGCTCAAGCCCATAATATGCATGGAGTTATTTGTTTCAAATGTTTAAACCAGTTTTGAGATGCAAAAGAAATAGAACAGAAAGCTGTCCAGGACTTCCTCCCACGCTGACCAGTTGTCTGCCACACAAGGCACTGGGCCTCTGGGGCTATGTTGGCACTGTCAATCACCAGCCCTTCCCAGAACCAGCCTTAGGAGGCACAGTGGCTCCTCAATGTGGTCTGGAAAAAGAGGCATGGAGAAAGTTGACCTTCCTGCCTTGCATAATCTGGGTGTCACTATTGCAAGGAAGTCCTGTTTGGAAGTCAAAGCTCATTCCTAGCCCCTGCTTTTTTTGGGAAGCAGCATGGTGGAGTAATTCATCATTAATATTTGCCTAGGGCTGGACAGTTCACAAAGAGTTTTCCGTTTCTCCTATACACTGATAGTAGCTGTGTGGGAAGTCATTATTATCACCACTTCATGGGTAAGGAAGTTGAGACTTTTTGTGTGATTTCCCTGAGGTGGGTCAGATAAATAAAGCAGAACCTTGGACTCAGATCTAGCCCTTTTGACCCAGGACCTAGCTTTTCTGTTTTCTCCTCACTGACTGAAATGAGCCACAACTCACAGGCTCGTCAACATTGGTCTTTCCTCACTTTGAAAGCAGGCCTGCTTGGGCCCTGCAAATTAGTTTCCAGACTCAGCTTTCCTATTGGGTCCCTGGATATCTTGGACATACGCCTTCTTTTTTCTCTGTCTCTGAGGCCCTCCCTCAACAGATTAACTTTTAAAAAAATATTGACACTGGCTATTAGATTAAAACATTGTGTTTCCTTAATGGTATCTCATATGTTGCTATTGGAGAAGCCTTGGAAAAAGTTTTTAAATATTATCCTCTTTTTATTGAAAAAACAATACACAGTTCTTCTAGACAAATTTAAACATCTCATATACACAAAAATAAAATTAAAAACATTCATAATCTCACTTCCACTGATAATCACTGTTAATGGCTTGGTGAATATTATTCCAGACCATTTTAGAGCTCTTGTGGTGTAACCATTAAGCACTTAGCTGCTAACCAAAAATTGATGGTTCAAACCTACTCAGCGGAGAAAGGTCTGATAATCTGCTTCGGTCAAGATTCAGCCAAGAAAGCCCCATGGGATAAAATGCAGAACAGAATTTCAAATTTTCATGGAATCCAGATTTTCTGGCGCCAAGGAGGCTGGATCGACTCCTGAAACTGTTGTCCTGAGATAATCTTTAACCTTAAACCAAAAATATCACCTGAAAGTGTTCTTAAAACCAAGCAATAATTTAGCTTAATTGGTAAAGAATATCTGCCTTGAGTTTTGTGCTCTTTTAAGAACTATCTATATGGTATCAAATTGACAACAGCAAATCAAAGGTTAAATGGGAGGCTTAGGAGACAAAGAGATCATGCTAATAGGAGAGCAGAACAACTCAAAAAGGAGGATGAAAAAGGCTGCTCAACTTGAAGGATTTAATTAATATCACTCAATTTTACATGTAGAAACTGTTGAATTGGTGTATACTCTTAAAAACAACAACAAAATAAAAAATTATGTAAAATAGCAACAACAACATTCTAAGGCAGAAGGAAGAGTTTTGGTTTTAGGGTGTGGACTCTAGGGGCCCTCTCACCACTTGCTTTCTCACCTGTTAGGTGGGGGTCTTCATCCCTGCCTATCTTGGTTCAGCAAGTTGTTAAAACTAAAACCAGTTGCTATGGAGCAGACTCATGAAGACCCTATGTGTTAGAACAGAACTGCGCACCATACGGCTTTCAAGGCTATGACTTTTCAGAAACTAGTGGCCAGGCCTTTCTTCTGAAGCATCTCTGGATGGGCTCACACTGCCAACCTTTGGAATAGTACTGGAGTGTTTAACTATTTGCCCCACCCAGTGACTCCCCAACAAGTTGTTAAGACTAAATTCTTGTCTATTTTGTTCATTGCTGTATCTCTGTAATGTGCCTAGTACTGTATCTCTACTCAGTACCTACCACACACACACACACACACACACACATACAAAAAGACAGAAACTCTGGTGGCTTAGTTCCTAAAGCATTTGACTGCTAACCAGAAGACTGGAGGTTCAAAACCACCAGCCACTCCTCAGAAGAAAGATTGGGCAATCTACTTCTACTGTGATACTGCCTCGGAAACCCAAGGAGGGGTCGCTATGAGTCGGATCCAAATATTTGGTGAATATATGGCATGATTCCACTGTAAAATTATAAAACTATACAATCACACATATGAGGCTCTGACCACTGTGTTTTGAGACAATATTTTATATTTTTTGTCATGCTAAAATAACACTCATTTACATCTTAAACTCATTATTAAACTAGTTCACTGATCCAGTAGTTGGACTTCTAGAAATTATTTCCACAAATAGGGGATAAGGTTACAACTTGCTTGGAAAAGGAAAAATTAGAAACAATCTAAATGCCCATCCATACAGGATTTAGTTAAATGACTTGTGGTGCATGTACATGATGGAATTCAAAAGAATGAGAAGCTTTTTATGCATTAATGTGGAGCTATCTACAAGACAGAAATATCATTTAACAAGAAAAGCAAGGAGCATAACAATGAGGATAGAATGCCACCAATCATATAAAAGAAAGAAAAGGTGAAATACATAAGAGATGTGTTTATTTACATAAAATACATATGTAAAAGTAAATAAAAATTTATCATATTGGAGCATGAAACTCAGTGGCTGGAAGATAGTAATGGGAAGGAGACCTTTTATTACATTTCCACTTTTGTAATTTTGAACCACCTGAGTATATTATCAATTCAAAAATTAATTCACCAAGAAAGAAAATCAGTTCATTCAGTACTTGATATAAAAATTTAAAAAAAAAAAAAAATTAAAAGCAAACAAAAAACATGGGGCAGTTCTGCTCCATCACATGAGGTTACTATGAATTGGAACCAACTCAATGGCATCCAACAGCAACAAAACTTACTTTATATGGATTATACTATGTAGGTCCCAAACCAACCCCACTGCCACTAAGTCCAATTCTGACTCATAGGACAGAGTAAAACCACCCATAGGATTTCCAAGGCTGTAAATCTTATGGAAGCAGACTGCCTCATCTTTCACCCACCCCGCAAATGATAGGTTCAAACAGCCAAATTTTGGTTAGCAGCCAAATGATTTAAGCACGATGCCACATGATCTCCTTTTCATGTAGGAAGATAATCTATACATGTAGTTAATTTATATGTGTGGACAATCTATATATGCAGTTATCTTGCTGGGTTTACATACTCAAAAATTTATATATATACGAATATGTATGTATGCATGTGCATATACATATACACAAATACACAGAGCGAGAGAATCTCTGGGTAGTGTAAATTAGTTACACTCAAGTACTAATTTAAAAGTTGGCAGTTCAAAACCACCAGTGAAGCTGCAGAAGAAAGCCCTGGCCATCTGCTTCCATGAAGATTATAGTCAAGAAAACACTGAAGAGCAGTTATACTCTGTACCACATGGGGTTGCCATGAGACGAAATTGACTTGACAGCAATGGTTTTTGATTTGTATATATGCAAACCACAGGAGAGAGAAGGAAAATAACTTCCTGATTAGCAAAGAGATAGCTATCAATCTGGAGACGCTGGTATAGTTTCCTATGTTGTTGTTATTGTTATGTGCCATTGAGTCGGACCCAACTCATAGCAACTTCTTCTTGGGTTTCTGAGGCAGTATCACTACAGAAGTAGATTGCCCAATCTTCCTTCCAAGGAGTGGCTGGTGGGTTTGCACACCAGCCTTCTGGTTAGCAATCAAGTGCCTTAGGCACTATGGTACCAGAGCTCCTATAGTTGCCTATAACACTGACTTATTAGGCCACCTAAGACTCTGGCCCCACTTTTATTTATCAATTCATCATTTATTATATACCAGGCTCAATACTAGGTCCAGAGTCCCTGAGTGGCACAAACAGTTAAGCAATTGGCTACTAATTGAAAGATTGATGGTTCAAACCACCGAAAGACACCTCACAAGGAAGACCCAGTGATGTGCTTTCAAAAAGGTGACAGCCTTGAAAACTCAACAGAGTGCAGTTCTTCTATGCAACACAAGGTCAGAATCAACATCACAGCAACTGGTTATACTAAGTTCTTTCCATATACATCTCTAATGGTCATATGAACCCTATACTTTAGGAATTATAATCTCTATTTCACATATGAAGACAGTGGCGCTTGGAAAGACTAGTTACTCAAGGTTTCACAGACAATAAGTGGAAGAAGTGCACCAAACTATAAAGGCTGTGCCTAGAGCAGTGCAGTGTGATACTCCCTGTAATAGAGTCAGGAGCTATGGAATCTGGAGAGTGGAAGGGTATACTCTATAAACTGGGAAGATTCTGAGGTGGATAGTGGAAGAGAAATAAGACATCAGCAGGAAAGGAATAAGCAGAGCATATGCAATGGGACATGGAAGGACATTGCAGCTTCCCAGAAAGACAGAAGGCCAACATGACTGACATGGAGATGAAGCTGAACTGGTAGACCTGTACCAGGTCAAAAGGCCTCATCAGCCATGCAGGAAGCAAACGTTGTTTTGGTTTCTGTTTTTTTTTTTTTTTTTTTGTTCCTTGCAGGCACAGTGGGAACAGCATCATCACATCTATGTTTTAGGACCTAAACTGTGGAGGCAGATAGGCAGGGTTAGGCCAGTTAGGATGCTATAGCAGTAGACAAGATAACAAAGTTTAAACTGAGTGCTTAATTGGAAGGGAGGATATGGATTTCCAAAACATAAGGGGCAGAATAAATAGGATTTGATGACTATTGAATGCCATGTAAGAGGAAAGAAGAATGATACAATTGTAGGCTGAGGGAATTGGTAGATGCTCATGCCATTAGTGGAGCTCTGGTAACGTAATGCCTGAGGCACCTGACTGCTAACCAGAAGGCTGGTGTGCAAACCCACCAGCCACTCCTCAGAAGGAAGATGGGGCAATCTACTTCCATAGTGATATCGCCTCGGAAACCTAAAGAGGGGTCACTAGGAGTTGGGTCCTGCTCGACGGCACATAACAACAGCTGTATCAACAACAATAGAAATCAGAAATGAGAGCACTGTTATGATGTTTATATTCAAGATCTCTGGGTCTTGCAAGAAAGAGCTCTGGTGGTATAGGGGTTAAAGTGTTCAGCTGCTAGCAAAAAGTCAGTGGTTGGATCCCACCAGCCACTTCATGGGAGAAAGATGAGACAATCTGCCTCCATAAAGATTTACAGCCTTGGAAAGCCTATGAGGCAGTTTTACTCTATCTTATAGGAGCTCTGGTAGCATAGTACTTAAGACATTTGACTGTTAACCAGAAGGCTTGTGGTTCAAACCCACCAGCCACTCCTTGGAAGGAAGGTTTGGCAATGTACTTCCTTAGAGACACCACCTCGGAAACCCAAGAAGGGGTCACTATGATTTGGGTCCAACTCCACAACAGTGAGTTTGTTAGTTAGTGATAGGGTCATTATGAGTTGGAATCAACTCAATGGTAGTGGGTCAGTTTTGGTTTGGGTGGGTTTTGGCGAGGCAGTGATCTGTTAGATGTCTGGTGCATATACTGAAAATTAGAGTTTTGACCAGCCTTAGTCACTCTACCTCATTATTGCATCAGCCACATTTGGCAAGTTCTGTAAGTTTTATCAACCTTTCCTTGCCCCTTATGCAACTCTTTTAACAGTCCGTGATCTGTGATTCTTACAGTTGGAAATAAGTTGCAGATATTTGACCCTTTTACTAGAACATTTACCAAAAGGGGAAAAAAAAATGTTTTGTTCATTTTTTCTCTATTTAAGATTTCACGTACATTTGATTTTGTGGTGTAATTTCTCATTTAACATGTTAAATCTGTATAAGGTATTTCAGATTCCATCACTAAATATAATATGTCTTGACCTAATACTAAAAACCAGTTGCCATCAAGTTGAGTCTGACTCATGGTGACCTCATGTGTGTCAGCATAGAACTGTGCTCCATAGAGTTCAATGGCTGATATTTCAGAAATTGATCACCAGGGCTTTCTTCTGAAGCACCGCTGAGGGGACTTAAGCCTCCAGCTTTTTGGTTAGCAGCTGGATGTGTTAACCGTTTGCACCACCAGGGACTTCTATTCCAATTTTACTATGTTTTTATTTCTTGTTTTTTCAAGAAAAGAATCAAGAGTTCATGATTTTTAATAATGAAGCTGAACTGAAGAAATGATGTCAACTCTTACCTAATTATGAAATGTCTATTTTCCACAGTAAAAAGCGAGTTATGAGAATCCCAAGTGTGGTATTTTTGGGAAAAGCTTAATACTATTATCAAATCTTCAAAAGAGCAAAACTAGAAGAAAAGTTAGAAATCACCTAATTACCATTTCTCCTCTATTACAGATTGGGAAAGCAAGGCCCAGAAGGAGGAAGTAATTATAGCAGGTCAGTGGCAGAAATTGGCTAAGGACTTAGTCTCCTGGCTGCTGATTTAGGAAAATGTTGGGGATCTGTGCCCACGGATGTAAATAGACCCACCTTCATATCTTTCAGGTGGCTCCTTCTCTATCATGCTCTGTGCTTCTCCCTGTTGAAGGCTTCAGCCCACACCGTGGAGCTAAATGATATGTTTGGCCATATCCAGTCACCAGGCTATCCAGACTCCTATCCAAGTGATTCTGAAGTGACATGGAATATCACTGTTCCAGAGGGATTTCGGATCAAGCTTTACTTCATGCACTTTGACTTGGAATCCTCCTATCTTTGTGAATATGATTATGTAAAGGTGAGACTCCAGTGCTCTCCAGCTGGTCTTAGTTTTCTGCTGGGAGTTAGAGAAGCCTAAAAGTATTAGGCACTGTCCTTCCTCCCAGGGTAGCAATCTAGTGGGGGAGACACACATGGTCAGACCCTGATGAATGAAGGTTGGGGACCGTATGGTTAATTAAGACTGAGTAGGTAGAATTACAAAGGACCATGAGGGAAATTGAACCTGGCAAGGTGTGACTCTCCTTTTTCTTTCAGCTCTTAAAGCCTTTAATGTTTCCACTGCCTCTACTCAAAGGTCATTTTTAATTCAACAAACAGAAAAGGGCAGAGACCCCAGAGTAAGAAGTAATCTGACAGAAACATAGCCATAATTATGTCCAAATCTGAAGCATTAGAAAACCAAATCAAACTCACTGCCGTCAATTCAATTCTGACTCATAGCAACCCTGTAAGATAGATTAGAACTGCCCTATCATAGGGTTTCCAAGGATGTAAATCTTTATGGAAGATTTGCTTCATCTGTTCTCCCATTGAACAGCTGGTGGGTTCCAACTGTGGACCTTTTGGTTAGCAGCCGAAAGCTTTAAACAGAGTGCCATCAGAGCTTCTGAGCATTAGATAGCACTGCCTAATTCCACAAATTATGAACAATTAAGTGTCTGGGGAGTATAGGGTATGCAATAGTAGAAGTAGAAAGAGATGAGTTTGGAAGCATGAATTAGAGTGAGATTCTGAAGGATCTTGGATGTCATACTAAAGAATTTAGATTTTTATCAGCAAAAGGCATGGACAAGGGCGTTGGCTTTCTATTAGAAGTGAATGTAAAAAAAAACATGCAAAGGGAAGAGCATATATATGGATTTTAGTAACAACCCACTCTTTAAAGTGGGGCTGAGAAAGGTCAGAGTATTTCTAAGAGATCAAGTTTAAGGTTCTATCTAGTTCAAAGAGATGTGGAGACCTAAGGACTTACTTTCTGAGCTCTTCATGGCTTCATAGAAGATGTTCTCATCAAACAATTCCACAGTGGGCTTTATGTATTTTCAGTATGATTATAGTCCCATTTTTCCACAATCAATAAGAGTTAACTTTGTAGTAACCAGATTATTTGATCAGCAGCAAAATAGTGAGTTTACAAGGTGCTTTTACACTTATAATCTTATTTGACCTTAAAACAATCCTGTGAGACAGGTCTACTATCTCACTTCACAGGCAAAGAAACGAAACTCAGGAGGGTTTTGGCAGCTCATAGAAGGTTGTTCAGCTGGTAGGTGATGAAGCAAGGTCCCAAACCCATGTGTGTTATTCGTCTAGTGCTGCTATCACAGAAATACCACAAGAGGTTGGCTTTAACAAACAGGAATTTATTTTGCCACAGTTTAGGAGGCTAAAGGTCTGGGTTCAGAACACCGGCTCTAGGGGAAGTCTGTCTCTCTCTGTTGGCTCTGGAGAAAAGTCTTTGTCTCTTGGAGCTGCTGCTCCTGGTCAGTCTTCATGTGGCTTGGCATCTCTCTTCCCTCATCTCTACTTCTTTTGCTTTGTTGTTTAATCACTTTTATATTTCAAAAGAGATTGATTCAAGACATACCCTACACTAATCCTGTCCTCATTAACAAAAAGACAACCTACTCAGATGGGATTATAACCATAGACACAGAGGTTAAGATTCACAAACCATATTTTTGAGAAGGAGCTGTGGTGGAATAGTGCCTAAGGCATTTGACTGTTAACCAGAAGGCTTGCAGTTCAAACCCGCCAGCCACTCCTCGGAAGGAAGATGGGGAAATCTACTTCCATAGAGATACCACCACAGAAACCCAAGGAAGGGTCACTATGAGTCAGGATCAACTTGACGGCAGTGAGTTTGGTTTTGGTTTTTATTTTTTGAGAACAGAATTCGATCCATAACTCCATACCTTTGAATTCCTGCTCTTTGGGTTACACCAAGAAATTCACAAGCTGTGTGCCACTGAGTACTGTGATATTGCAATGTTCAAAGGGGCCGCCAGAGGGGGGAAAGGAGGCCCTGTAGGTGGGGCTCCAGACCCCTACTCTGTCTAAACTTATTTTATATTGCATATATTGGGTCCCCATGAATATCTCACTTACAACTCATTTACAAGGTTTCTGGTGCTAAAAATATTCCAAAATGAGTGCTGTATGGCAGGATTTCTCAACCTCAGCACTATTGACATTTTGAGCCAGGTATTATTTGCTAAGGGGAGCCGATTTGAGAATTGCAGGATGTTTAGAAGTAAATCTGACTTCTGCCTTCTAAATGCCTATAGCACTCCTCCCTACCCCCCAGTTATGACAACCGAAAGTGTCTCTGGACATTACCAAATATTCCCAGAGGAGCAAAATTGCCTTAGTTCAAAACCACTGCACTATGGAATGCAATACTTATTGAATGCCTTATACTGGAGACTATGGGGGATATGTTGTTGTTGTTATGTGCCCTCAAGACAATTCCGACTCATAGCACCCCCTCTAGAACAAACAGAAGGAAACGCTGCCTGTTCCTGCACTATCCTCACAATCGTTCCTAAGTTTGAGCCCATGAGGCTATAAGGATGCAAAAGATCTTGTTCCTCACTAAGGTAGAAAAGCTTAGACAAATAGTCATTCAAAAAATGGGAAACAGTAATGACTGACAGATAAAGAATGAGAACAGATGAAACTGGTATCTCTCAGAGATAATGTGGGATGGTAATCTAGATTGACAGAGTTTCTATAAATTCATTAAAAATGAAGCCAATTTCTCAGGGGTCTTGGGATCAACCAAAGGATATCAAGAGATCCTGAATGTCCATCATTCTAAACTGAACTTTCTGACATGAAGGTCAATTATGCCTTCCAAGATACAATCTAGCCTTGGTCAGAGCCAAAATTCAAGATAAAATTATAGATGTGGGTCATTAGGTTAAGCAGACCCCCAGACTATTCCCCCAACTAACGCCAGTCATAAAACCATGTTATTCTTGAACAATTGAGTAGAAGATTAAGATGATAAAATAAGCATGGCCTTAGTGTGACAGTGAGTCTTATGGATTTGGTCAAGATAGATGTGAACTTCTTAACCAAGTTTTTCTCTGATCTCAAATGCATCAACCATCTAGAAATTTTGACAGTGAAAACACTTGCTTTCAATGGCATCAGGTGCGTTTTATAGTGGGGGGAGAAAATGACACGGTACTTTTCAAGGGCAAGAATAGCATAGAAGTAAAGTCTCCTTCTGACCCTGAATTAAAGACTACTGAATATATTTCTACCCAAAGCTTGGTCTTTCTGGCTGGAGACTATTTTAGACAATGACTAATGGATTCTATCCAAGGTAGTGAAACACCTTCCTAAAACTCCAAGGAGATTGGCCTAGGCCCTCTAGAAGGAGAAGCCTGGTCCTGGGTTCTTGCCTGTTATTTAAAGTTACTTGGAAAAGGACAGCAGTGGCATGATATGTTTACAAGTTCTGGTTCCAGATTTGCCACCAACTCATCAAATGATCTGGAGTAAGAAATTTTCCCTTCCTGGACCTAAATTTGTTTATCCACAAAATAAGGATGAAAAAAATCCTTCAGGGTCTCTGTTCTCCAAAATTAGAAGCACTTTGGTAGGCCAAGTGACTTCTGGGCACAGCAAAGAAGCAATCTGCTTAAGGGATCTCAGACTGAGCTGTCTGCCTGAAGTGCATTCTACCCTTGCTTCTCTGATTCAGACATATTTTTCCAAATTCTTTGGAAGAGAGGTAAACCCTGTGGGGCAGGGGGAGAGGTGTTGAAGATGTATGTCTTGATTTGTGCTTGCTTAGCTAACCGTCTTTCAGAATGTCATCATGGCATGGATGTCTTGCAGAGGTTCCAACAGTCCTGAGCATGAATAGGGCTTCATCTGCAGGACGCTACACCCTCAAAGGCTGACCTCTGCAGCTCACATGGAGACACCAGGACTCTATGCCGTTGCCCACATAGGCCCAGCAGAGCTTCTCTCTAAAAATCACAAAATGTTAGGGGTGCAGGGTATTCTGGGGACTCATCTAGCCCCATGCTGTTGTTGTTATTGTTGTTTTTCAAATATTTTCTTCCCAGTGACCCTTTCCTTCTTCTGAAAAACCTTTGATTAGGCCCAAAACAGAAAACAGATAAAAGTGGAACTGCTAAGAGGGAAAGTGGCCCTGGAGCTCTCTCTGCTGGCTCGTGCTCAAGGGTAACCTGTGCAGCACCTTTGAAGAATTACAGCTTGAATATTGCTACTCTAGTCAAGTTCCAAGGAGCTCTGATGGTGTAGTGGTTAAGGCGTTTGGCTGTTAAACAGAAAGTTGGCAATTTGAACCCACCAGGTGCTCCATGAAAGAAAGATGAGGAGGTCTGCTTCCATCAAGATTTATAGCCTTGGAAACCCAATGGGGGTCACTATGAGTCAGAATCAACTGGATGGCAGTGAGTTTGATTTTTGGTTTTGAGTTAAGTTCTACTGTACAAAAGAGGAGGCTAAAGCTCAGAATTCGAGGACAGCACTCCAATTCCCAAATCCAAAAGCTCTCCACATATAGTTGAAACTTGTTCCCTATTTATAATTGTGTCCCACCCCGCCCCTTCCTCAAACTATGTGCTTTCTCTGGCTATGAATTAGAGAGAAGCTGGTCTTTTTCCATCTGAGTAAAAGCACTAATGTGCCATGTGACCATTGGGTAAGTCAACATACTTCTCCAAAATTGTTTTTCCTTGTGTTCAATGAAAGGGTGAGACAAGATTATCCCTAAATTTCCTTAAATCGCAGCATTCTAATCTCAGTCCTCTTTGCCAGCACTTTCCAGATGACCCCCCCACCATACTTGCATTATCCTAGTCAGGATGATACCAGAACATGGAAACAATATGTTACAATAGCCCCTTCTCAAAGTTCCATGGCCGTAAGCACTCCAATTAGAGTCTGCAGTCTGCTGGGGATGCCTTGATGGCAGGTCATTTGAAGAGAACTTGTAAACATATCATGCCACTGCTGTCCTTTTCCAAGTAA